TCTTAACCCAAATGGAGTAGATAAACTTAAGAATGTTGGAACAGCTAAACAGCTTCGCAGTGCAAGACCTATTTTTGACAAGAGTGAAAGGTAGAGATCATTCTTATTTTCCACACTCTTAAATTTTCTCTCCTGTATGATTAAAATTTGTTGGAATCCATTGCGTTTATCTCATAGATTTTTTCATGAGTTCTGTGCAGTAAGGTGGGTCGTCCACCCACTAGGAAACTATCTGATCGTAAGGCCTACAAACGTCAGAGAGCTACGGCAACAAATGCTCCAACACTAGATTTTCATGGTAAAACAAGTTTAGTTTAATAAGAATTGCTCTTTTGGATTGAAATTATTAATTGATTTATTCCTTTTTTTCATGGATTTGTTACCTTTCTTAGTTGGTTCAAATGATGGCCGTGAGGAGCTACTGGCAGCTGTCAACTCAGCTGTAAATTTTGGTAAAACATTTTTTTCCTTGGCCACTCCTATGATTTATACCCAACTTTTGTTTCTGGATTAATTGTCTTGTTATTGATGCAGGTCAGAATTTTCCCAACTCTTTCTGGAAGCAAATGGAGCGCTACTTTTGCTATATATCTGATGATCATATCAATTTCATGAAACAACAGGTGATACCTTTACTTCATTTTCAGATCTCATAGTGAGGATTTGACAGATATATTTTTGTTGGTAATAAATATTCACACCCGATCTCCTGAAATTATTGATTCTCTTATCCAACTATAAATCCAAAACCCTAATTTTCCTTGTAGCACATTCCTAATCAACTAGACTTGAGCCCAGAAAAACAAAAAACAACTAGGCAAGAGTATCTGTCACTTGGGAATGTGGTTCAAGGAAAAATAGTGTTTGGATTTATAGTTGGATAAGAGAACCAGTAAATTCACTACGCACTGTTCCCTAGGTATCTATCTGCACCCCACTTTTGTAAATGTAAAGGGAAAGGAGAAAATCTCAAAGAAGTAGAATAATGGTGTCAAGTGTCTGTTGGAATTGTTATCATATGTGATTTGACAGCAATATTTGCAGTGCTACGGAAGCTAATCATGTCAACTTCAACACATTTTAGATAGTCAATAGTGTAATGTTTTTTTCCTCTCTCTTTCAGGGAGAACTCTCCTCCATGGGTCCTATGCCCATTTTGACATCCTCTGAGTTTGATAGCCGTGTGTTTCCCGAGGAACTTGCAACTAGCAGGGCAGATTCCAAGGCTTCTCCACTGTACCAGAGATTGCTATCAGCTTTGATTTCTGAGGACTCGATGGGTGTAAATGAAGATTTACAAGTTGATGGATTTGAGGCTATGCATGACGATGACTTAGAATTCAGTGTTCTGAATAATATGGAGTTCAATGGGTTTAGAAACAATGAAAGGCTGGAACTTGATGAATCAGAAGATGATGGGTCTGCGATTTTGTTCAAGGGTGTTAATAAGTCAGCCCACCACTGCAATGGCAAATTTCCAGATACTTCACCCATTGACTTCTTGGACATTCAATATGATAAATTGGGGATAGATGAAAAGATTTATCTGGAAGTCCAGTCTCTTGGAATATCCTTAGAACCAATGGTATACAGTCTAGTATCTTAGTTATTTAGAGCCTATTACTGCTATGTACTTTTGTCTCTTACTGAAGTTGCTTATTCTTCTTGTGTTTTCTTACAGCCTAGTATCTCAAACGTGGAGGATGAAGGAATTGCGGACGAAATTAAAAAGTTGGAGGAGGCTATCTGCAACGAGGTGTTTATTTCATCAAATATTATATATATTTGTTGATTCATTATGGTTTTCTTGTCTCCATTGTGAGTTATTAAGTAATAAGGGGGATTCTGATGTTTCTTAAGAAATCCTTGTAAAAGGACAAAAGTAATATTTTTGTGTCCCATGTTTACTTTCTCTAGAGAAAAAACACCATTTGATGGTCTCTATGTTAATTTTTTCAGGGTTCCAAGAAGAAAGAGATTGTGGATAGGCTACTAAAGCCTGCCATAGAGATGAAAGAACTTCAGGAGAAGTATGAATTTTCCCTTACTCTGCTTTTTGGGCACGCCATTGTGGATCTGAATTATGATCTGACGGTTTTTCATCTGTGGTTTTTATTCTTTCCATAGGGAGCTTGATCAACTTAGTTATGAAAAGCTCATCGAGATGGCATATGAAAAGAGCAAGGTAAATTGATTGTAAAGTTGGCTCAGTTTCAGTTTTGTTTTGCTTCCCTGGCACTGCCAATTTATACTTAGTTATTAGTTGATAAATCTGTTTCCTTAACAGGCAAGTCGGCGTCATCACAACGCTGGTGGAAAGAATTCCAATAACAAGATCTCAAAGCAGGCTGCATTGGCTTTTGTTAGAGGGACGCTTGAACGATGCCATCAATTCGAAAAGACGGGAAGAAGCTGCTTCAGTGAGCCTGAATTTAAGGATATGTTCATTGCCAGGTTGGCAACAGCCGAAGATACTCTCATGGACAAGGAGTATAATCCGTCAACTTCAAGTACGATCTATTGTCTATATAAAATAACGAATTCTCTTTTAAATCCATATCCTCTTCACTAATTTGTATCTCTCTTTCTTTCCCTTACAGCACCCATGGGCTCACAGCCAAGCTCTTCGTTGGCACGCATTGGGCAGAACTCGGAGAACTATGCCAGTTCTTCTGATGTTCTACCATCTGAAAATGCTTTACTAGAACAAACGATGGGGAAAGAAGATACAGCATGGTCCAATAGGGTCAAGAAGAGAGAGTTGCTGCTTGATGATGTTGGTATTGGAACACAACTCTCAAGTAATACAAAGGGGAAGAGAAGTGACAGGGACAGAGATGGGAAAGGGCAGGCTTCATCTAGAGGCGGAACCAATAAGATCGGCCGGCCTTCCCTGTCCAATGCTAAGGGTGAAAGAAAAACGAAAGCAAAACCGAAGCAGAAAACAACTCAGATATCTCCATCTGTTAGGGTCCCGGAGCAACCCAAACCATTGTTACCAAAACCGAATGAAGCAAACAGCGAGTATAATAACTTGGAGGCACTGGAGGAGACTGAGCCAATTCTCGATTTATCTCAGTTACAAATACCAGATGGCTTAGGAGATTTTGATACGCAACCAGGTGATATTAGTTCATGGTTTAACATGGACGACGAAGAAGATTTCGATATCACGGAGCTTGGGATACCAATGGATGATCTCTCAGGGCTGAACATAAAGTTATGAGGTCACCACTCCCTCTCACTCTATCTATAGCTGTATAGTCTTGTTGGTTATACTAGTTGACAAAAAGAGCGTAAGGTAAAAGAAAATTTTTGCTTCCTTGGGCGAATAACCAATACAGGAAATGGGTTATTCGGATGTTAGCTCCAGAAAATTAGGTCATTTAGATTCTTTTCTTCATCATCTTCTCCTTCTTCTTCTTAGGCTTCTTTTCCGTCTTCTTATAACTCCGATTTCTCGGGTGAATCTCTTTTTACTTTGGTGATGGATGCTGGATTTGGATCCGGTGGGTAAACTAGGTTGATAGTTAACTTCCGGCTCTAACAAGCTGTTGTGGCAGAAAGAAAGAAAGGAAAAAGGAGTGATGATGGTGATATTGTAGTGATATATGTATACATATAAATGGAGGCTCTTCTTCTTCTTCTTTCATCTTTGGGTATTGTTTTTGTAGTTTTCATAACCTCAGGACCATTACCTCTCTGTACATACATTTTTATGTTCCTTAATAAAATTCAGTTTCTCCCTCCATTATCAGGTCACTATATACAATCTTTACCATCATGATATGATGGTATGTGTGTTTCTCGTAACCTTTGTTGAATATTTGTAAAGGTAAAGATGATTCAAGTTTAGAGATAAAAAAAAAAGGAAGAGTTTGCTTTGATCTTTCTGATATCATAAGATTGGATGTTTGATATTGATTTTGAATTCTTCTCTTTTTGTTAACGTAAATTTTATTAAAATTGGTAAAGGAGTGCAACAAACAAAAATACTTCAATCAAATAAAAAGACTAAGGAAATCGTGAAAGAAACCATTGTTGACTTGTAAGTGTATTAACACCGAGTTAGGCCATGTGATCTTACTCGTGGCAAGATCGAAGAGACCACATTTTGAAGGACAATCATATCCTGGCCAAACGTCATCGTTATGGAAACAAATTGAACCATTCTTGATTCCATCATCAACATCTTGAACTGGTGATCTTATTGTAAACCATATATGACCACAGAAAAGCTGATCTTTGGCATCTGTATAGATGGCTTTCGACACGTGATCCTTACGACAAGGAACGTCCAAGTCTCCCAACTATCTCCATATTCGACGAAGTTGGGAAGAGACAAATGCCGTCAACAACACAAAACCAATGAGTTTCTTTTAACTAGAAAACAAAACCGACATCAAAAGTAACAGAGATTGAAAAGTGGAAAGAGAAAAATGGACTGTGTAAGAACAAAACCAAAAGCTAGCTATGGCCGCTAGAAAAGCCGTCTGATGCTAGGCAAGAAGCCGACCATTTACCATTGACAAAGCTAAATAGATGTCAGACATAAGCCGGATGGGAAGAACCAAAACACTTTCTTTCTCTATGTTAAAGAGAGAAGAGAGAAAAGATGTTGCAAATACGTTTAACCTTTAACAACTAACAAATATAGTTAACAAGCTGATTTTATCTTGGGTCCGATTGGTAACACAAAGTTGTATAAAAATTATAGTTGTAAGCTGGAGCGGTAAACTTTTACGGAATAATGCAAAACTATATAAAAATATGGTACATGAAAGTTAATACAAAAAAAATTGAGAATAATGCTTTTAGTAACGCTTTTGATGTCGCTTTTGTGTATCATTCTTTTTTAGTCCACCAATCAAACCATTATCAAAAAAACATGTTCTCTCTATTAATGGATGATACCACCAACAGTTTAGGCATAATTTATGCAGATTTTTCTCTTTTTTTCTCTTAGTCGATGATAATAACTGTCGCCTGAGGCACATTAATAAAGTCGTCACGAATAATAGTTTTAATGAGATTCCAAAAATACGGTAGTTTGATGAGATTCCAAAATTCCAAATTTGGTACAGAGTACAAACAGTAATAGTAATGAATCATATGACAAAACTGTGAGAGGCGCAAATCCAGTTTCAGTCGGGACATGATACTGTTGCTTGACTCAAGAATTAGATTCAATCTTTAGCCACAAATTTCACATACTTCCCATCAACCGTGAATCTGGAGCTCGAATTCACCTGTAAAATTGTAGAAAAACAAAAAGACTCTATTGAGAATATCTCTCTACAGTGGAACAGATTGTAGTACATTAATTAGACAGATGAGAAATGTCTAACCTTTAGCACTAGCTCTGCCTTAAGCTCAGATTTGTCTCGAGTTATGCCTGAATCCACAATAGATTCCAGAACGAGCTTCTTCAGTTTCTTCATCTTCAAAGTTTTATCTTCGTTCTGTATCAATACAAATTCATAGATTTGTTACATTATGTAGTCACATTGCAAAAAAGAAGTTAAATTGAAACTGAAATTCAGTGAGTTGATAAATACGTACAGACTTCAAAGCCAATGTGATCAACTTCTTCCAATTGATTTTCTTCTCATGGCCCTGTTTCTTCGCTTTCTTTAGATCACCTCCTTTTGCTTCTTCGGCTTGAGGTACCTCACCTCTACTCGTTTCATCCAAAGTCTCTAGCTTTCTCTTTTTCTCGGCATGCGATTCTCCATTCGCAACACTTGAGGAGACAGGTAAATCTACTTTCTTCTGTTCTGAATCACCATTAGACGCGTTTTCGCTTCCATCCTTCGTATCCACCGTGGATTGTTCAGACTGTTGTTGTTGTCTAGCATGGAAGGCTTTTGCTTTCCCTCGGTGCTTCTTCCCATCCGCATGGGCAAGCAAAGTCTGCTGGCTAGTAGCCTTTGTGTAACATATACTGCAACCAAATAGATAAATATACTCAAAACCATGTCCTCAAAAATCTCACCACAAGATAACACACACAAAAACAACAATACATTCTAAAACAAAAGTCTACATTAGCATAATCAATCCAAAGAAACATCGATACAACCGGCTTTCTTATACTCCTGAACAATGTCGACCAACCTCAATACATTATGCATTCATACCTAAAGCGGAAAATGAAAGGAAAGGTTGAAAGATGTGCATACCTACAAAACCATGGATATCGGTTCGATAAGCCGACAGTAATATCGAAGTCAGGCTGTTGCTTAGAGTTATCCTTTGGCTTTGCAGGTGTGCCATTAGATGACTTTGACTGCCCTTTTGGACCATACTTCTCCTAAATAGCCAAAACATCCAAGACACAGAAATCAATTCTTCAATCTCTTAAATCCAATACATAGCCAAAAATCTAAAACTTAACCCAATTTGTTCCAAGAAATGGGTAAATTACTTACAGCTTCAGTAATACACTGGTTATGTCCTTGCACAGTATCTTTCCCAAACATTTCTCCACAATCGATGCACGATAACTATTGATACAACACATGAAGGAGAGATTTAACACAACAATCATCATAAAGTTTCGATTTTACCATAAGAGCAAAAAAAATGAAGACCAAAAGAAATTTTAAAGGTGAGACCTTGTTGGCTCTGCACATCTTGAAGTGAGTCGGGAGCTTTGGCTTCTTCAGACTCTCTCCACAGTCTTCGCATTGAAACCAAACCATTGTTTTCGTTTTCCAATTATCGAAATTGAGATTTGGGGCAAAAAAATTTCAAGCAGAAATCAAAAAATTTCTGTAATCGTGAATCGGAGATGGGTTTAAGATTAGTTACCAGCTAGGGTTTTAAAACCTTCAAGAGGAACTTAATAAAAAAATGCAGAGTTTGTTTATTGAAGTGTCAGACAACACGGTGTTTTGAAACACTAAAAACGACACGGTTTCTTAGTTTTTAGCATTGATGATTGTTTTGTATTGCAATGCAACAACAAGGGAATTCAAGGCATTTAGCTTTTAGTATAAACCGAACCAAACCGAGTAAACCAGAATAAATTCTACAGACAGTTTTAAATAAATATCAAACATTTTTACTTATGTTTATTCTTGTAGTTATTTTTTATCCAACCAAATAAAAAACTCTCAAATCAAACCCCAAAAGGCTGGTTTTGTTTGGTATATATTCACACAACTCGAAACCGGAACTTTGCTTTTCTGGCTTACATAGATTTACTCAGGTAGGTTGAAGATACCAGATTAGTAATTAGCCTAACCGAAAATTGAAAGTCTAATTAATATATCAGAGATAACAGCCTTACCAAATGATCTCAGCTACCTCTGATGCCAAGCATGTCCCCCATCACCAAAATATTGCCCTGCCATGCCTAAATGATTCGGTGGTGGCTGCAACATCGATCCTTGGTTCATCATCATACCCGAGCCAAACATACCATAGTTTGCTAGACCACTTAATGCACCATACATTGGATCAAAACCAGGAAACTGATGAGAGTGTCCGTAAAAAGGAATGTTCTGTCCGAACATATCTATAGTCTGTTGTTGGTGGTGCATCTTCTTGAGTACATGTCCGTGACCCAGTTCGGGACCGGGCAAGACTGCTTCACTTTGATTGGCCATCTGAGTTAGATCAATCTTCACCGGTTCAGCCATATCCTGCTCCTTTCCAGCCCCAGACGGCTTCTTTGATGCTAGATTACATACCACGATGCGGTTGTACATCCTCTTCTCCGGTCTTTTCAATGCCTCTCTCGCTCCTTTCCGCGTCTTGAACTGCACAAACCCATACCCTTTACCTCTTCCCGTGTCCTTGTCCATGACCACCGAGCAATCCTCTATCTCCCCATAAGTCTCAAACGCCGCCTTGAGGTTCTCATGTGTTGTGTCCCATCCAAATCCACGCACAAATATATTGCGCTGAGCGATGTCACGGTCAGCCGATTCAAGGATGGCAGAGATCAATCGAGAACCCTTCTCAGCAGTCTTGTATATGAGGTTAACAAGCTCTTCCTTCGAGTAAGATACCAACAGCTGCTTGATATCTTCCTTGTCATACTCGAAATCAGAGTCTGACATAGTTTGCTTCTTTTCCTTCTTTCGCTTCTTCTTATTCTCTTGCTTTTTCTCACCCCCTCCTTCTGCTTCTTCGGCCTGAACTACCTCCCTGTTCCGTGTTTCATCGAAAGTCTCTAGCTTTCTCTTTTTGCCGGCCTGAGGATATCCATTTGCAACACCTGATGAGACAAGCAAATCTACTCTCTTCTGTTCGGAATTACCATCAGAAGCATTTTCAATTGTATCCTTCTTATCCACTGAGGATTTTTCTAACTGTTGTTGTTGTGTAGCATCAAACAATTCGATATTTTCTCGGTGTTTTCTACCATTGGCATGGGATAGCAAATTCTGCTGGCATGTAGCCTTCACGTTACACAAGCTGGAACCAAATAGATATATTCAAAGCATTAACTCTTGAAATCTCACCCAAAGAGCACTATTACAAACAAACACAGAAATCATCTCTATTTATTACAATACAATATCAAAGAGAAATCTATGAAACCAAACAAATGATCGAAAAGCAACCATATACACGACTCCACTCAATAGCTGATGCATATCCTACTTAGAATTATCCTAATCACAACTAACTTACTCAGGTGAAATACATTTTTCTAACGTGATATAGAAAATAGCAGTGGAAAGGTGAAATATGTGAAGAGATTACCTACAAAACCATGGATAACAATTGGATAACCCAACATTTATATCGACTTCGATCTGTTGTTTTGAGTTGTCCATCGTGGAATGTTGTGTTACTTGTCGTTGCTGTTGTTCAGCATCAAACCATTCGACGTTCGCTCGGTGTTTCTTCCCATTGGCATGTGATAACAAAGTCTGCTGACTGGTAGCCATTATGTTACACAAGCTGGAACGAAATAAATCATATTTAATGCATGTCTTCATAAAATCTCACCACAAGAGAACAAATAAACAACAATACATTTTGAACTAGTTTTACCCAAAAAAAGATAGATAAGATTTCCTAAACAATGTAGATTACCTACCTACAGAACCATGGATAGTGGTTTGATAACCCGACATATATATCAAAGTCGGGTTGTTGTTTTAAGTTGTGCTTGTCAACTGGTGGTTGTTCAGATTGTTGTTTAGAGTAGTCCATATCAGCAACCTCATTTGCTTTCTCTTGGTGTTTCTTTCCATAGACATGGGCAAAATAATCCTGCTCGCAGGTCATATTTGCATTACATAAGCTGCAAATAGATAACATAATATTCAAGTCATGTCCTCATAAAACCTCACCACAAGAGAACACACACAAACAAGACAAGCTATCTAATGACAATGGAAGGAAGGCTAAAGATGTGTAAAGTACCTACAAAACCATGAAGGACTCTTGTATAACTCGGTATTTATATCGAAATCGTGCTTTTGTTTCGAATTTTCACCATTAGATAGCCCCTTTGGACCATATTTCTCCAATTTACCAGAAAGAAAAAAAACATTCAAGACACTAAATAAGTCTTCAGATACATAACTAAACCTAAAAAAAAACTTAAAAAAACCATTAGGGATTAGCATCAAATTGATAGAAATGGGGAAATAAAAATACTTACAGCCTCAGTGATGCATTGATTATGATAGTAAACACTATCTTGCCCAAACATGTTTCCACAGTCAATGCAAGAAAACTGTGAAGATTCGAAGATAATCATCAGAGAGAGATTAAGAGAAGAAGAGAATCATCAGAGAGTTTCAATTTTAGTGTACCTTGGTGGCAGTGCACATACGCAAGTGCCTCGAGAGCCTTGGCTTCTTCAGACTCTCGCCACAATCTTCGCACTGAAACCACACCATTGGATCCAAAATTCTTGCAATTTGCCAATTTCGGAGACCGCCTAGAGTTTTGAAACCCTTTTCCAGATTGATGATTTTTCTAACTACGTCGCCGTTTCACTTTTGGAAAATTTCCCTTTGTTAAATGCGATAACACTTTAGAGTTTTATAAAAATTAAAACCTATAAGACCATATGTATCTCGGTTCGGTTTGGTTCTTTTTTTTTTCGGTTATTCCATGTTTATAGAAAATATATATATAAATTTGATACATAAATTATAAGTAATGTTGATAAGTTTAGGTGAGGGTTTTGTAATTCAATAGATTTTTTTTATTCCTAAATTTTTGGTTTCCAAATTATTAAAAAAATCAATAATTATAAATCCAATAAAGAATTTTTTTAATGATACTATTACTAGTCACAATATAAACTGGACAATATTTTTGTATATAATTATTTTAAATTTTAGTCAAAAACAAAAAAAAAAACATTGGGTTTTAAGGTTTTTAACCAAACCAAACTTAAACAAAAAATTTAATAAAAATTACAACCAAACGGATTTGTATACTAAACTATAACCAAACCAAACCATTTATTTCGGTTTAGTTCGGTTCGGTTTTTTGAGATTCGGTTATTTTACCTACCCCTACTCACCACCGCCTATAGGTCTACACATCATCTTTCAGTACATGGACCTACACTCATTCGACGACCAGTAGAATATCTTAAAAGGTTTACAAAACTTGTTTAGGGATCCTACAAATTACCACAAAATATTTTTTCGTATTTTGTTTTCACTTACACGGTATCGAAAATTATTTTTCAAGGTCTTCAATAAAATGAATACAAAACGTTATTCTAAACCATAATGTTTTGGACAAAACTCATTTCTACTAATTTTATATTAAAAATCTCGTGGTCTATTTAAAATGGTAATCACTGGAGGCACTTATGTAAAAATGTAGAATATATAGCACACAAGATGTTTTTTTTTTATATAACTGTAAATATCATTAGAAATGAAAATTTTAGGGATTACAAACATAATACCTAGGGCTTTTGAGAACTTTGCCAAAAAGGAATAAAAAACAAGGCCACAAATGTTTAAGAAGACACAAAAGTGAAATCATCTAATCCAAAGTTGCATTAAATTTCTAAAATGCTTCCTTTGTCTTCGAGCATGAATTACGGTTCGGATCTCTTTATCAATCACCTTGAAAATGGTGTGGTGATCAATGACAGAGAGGTTGTGATCTCTTTACGGTTCGGATCTCTTTAGCACACAAGATGTTGTTTGGATGTTTAAATCTACTAAAATACTCAATCCATTAAACTGCCCAAGCATCTGTGGTCTAGTGGCAGAGGAAGCTTTGAGAAAGGGTGAAACTCCCAAACCTGAGTTCGATTCTCCCTGGAAACAAAAACACATTTGTTTGGGAAGTCTGTCAGTTGGGCTTTGGCCCAATTGGTTTACCTGGTAGCCAGTAATGCAGGCAGCCTGACTACCCCCTGGCACTTAGTCGGAAGGCATTCCAAACTCGGGATAGGCAGAGTGGTAGCCCGTAAGGGCCTAACCGTTAACACGGTGGACCAGTCCAATATGTAGCACCACGGTGCGTTCCTACCGGGGCCGACCGGATAGCCGATAGGGTTTATCAAAAAAAAAAAAAAAATCCATTAAACTTTCTTTTTAAGTACTCTCTTGATGAATTTGGCTTAAACTATTTATAGTCCCAAAACTATAATTATATCTTAAACTTTATTTTCACCACCACATATATACTATATGATGGTGATGACATAAATAGATTCATACATAATATTCTTACATATATGATCAATTACAGAAAGGACTTCGACCAGGACCACCATAGTAAAAGAAACTTCCCCAGGCTTGTTCAGTGCGATACCTTATGTCATAACAACTTTCTTCCGACACAAATGTAGAAGGACCTACAGGTTGCCTCGTAATATTATTTTCATCAGTTACGAAAATATTCCTAAAATAACTAGCTTTTCTATATCCATTTATTGCAAATGACCCACTTCCCATTTGTGTTGACGTGTGTTGGTTGTTCTCCTTTAAATTTACTATTTCGCCTCCCCATTCAACTTCGGTCGCACCAATTCGTAAACGATTGAACAATAAAGAAGGCCAATACCCGACAATTACATGAGTACCAAATCTCAACCACCAATTCCCTGAACTACGGTCCTATAATAATATAACATATTCAATTTCAGTTTGTAATTTCAGATAGAAATTATATGATGAAAAAGAACATGTATTATTTTTACCTTCCATATACTTGTGAAAATTTCGTATTGTAGACCATCACGGATAGAAACTTCAGGAACGGCCGCGCCTAGAGCAAATGCTTGGTTGACAACAACAAAGCCGGGGCAAATAGTATTATAGCAACCATGTTGTATATATGAATCATTCTGTTTTCAGGTAATCAAACAACACACATAACAAAAAAAAAAAAAAGTTAAGACAAAAAAGAAAGAAAATTTAACAATACGTTGGAAGTTAACTCACAGTCCAATAGACAAAGTATCGAGGGTTAGTATCATTATAAAGTGCAGTCAACACCTAATCAATAACAAAAAAAAAAAGAATAAAAGAAGAAGATTAGAATATATATTTATATTTAATTTATATATAAACATGCAATTGCAAGAAAAAACTAAAACCTGCCAACCAGCTTCAATGGTTTCAAGTTGAGTACTATAACTTCCAGCCGACATCCATATTTGTGCTAAGCTAAATTCTTTTGTATGTTGTACATAAGGCTTCCACACATTTATAAAAGTTTGGGTTCCATAAAACATAGCTCGAGGAGAATTTACTTCCACTTTAAGTATGGCATACTGTATATGTATATAAATATGTAAGAACTATAAAAACATATATACTCATAATAGGAAAAATGATGGCATTTCAAATACTTAATGAATGATATATGCACCTCATGTACACCGTCGTTAGTTGGATTGGTTGGTCGTTTATGTTGATGGATATTGTTGGGATCTTTTTTTCCAAACCTTTCAATGGATTTTGCTCGTAAAATATCTTCTTTTCTCGTTCTTCTGATCGGAATACTATTTTTTGGACATTTTCCATTGATTGTCCAAAGTTGAGGAACCATATTGTGTTTTTCATTATCTGAATCTTTATTGCTCCATCCTTCTGGGTAAGAAGTTGGTCTCATCTACAACACAAAATTGTTAGATTTAAAGTAATAGATTAAAGTTTGACCAAAAAAAAAAAGTAATAGATTAAATAAAAATGACAAAGCCAAATGTATTTAGTTAAACCATTTTCAACGGGTTCGTTAATTTTTGTGCTAGTATCATCAAGTTTTGGTCTGGTACAACTTATGATAAAGATTCAATGAATGGTGTAATTTTTGAATAAATTATGATTAAACCATAAACAAAATGCATAATAACATTGTACATTAAAATAATATTGATAAAAAAAAATCTGAACCTGAATGGTGTGGTTTTTGAATAAAGGATGATCATAAATTGGATGATTTTTCATATGAACACAATCTATGATATCTCCATCTGGACTCTATTTTAAGAATTACAAAACATACACAACTACGAGGTAAGACCAATCGAAAATTAAAAACAAAATAATGTTGTTAAGTGTATTTTTGTGTAATTAATCCACAAATTAAATAAACCTTGATGGATTTAAGAAAAGGTTTGTTGAGTTTCTTCATGAGTCGATTTATTTCAGCATCACGAGTATTAGAAGACTCGCTTCCGGTGACTATCATAGCTAGTATGACTAGAATGTATAGCACGATTAAATTGGTCATTATTCGATCGATCATAATAAGATTATCTAAAACGTTTTGATATTTTCTAAATAGTTTCTAGTTAGTTTATAGATGATTAAGTTAAATACTACTATATATTTATATATTAAAGAAAAGTCATGCACAAGAAAATGAACGTCATATCTATGAACTATAATTAGATACTTTTAATTAATTTAATAAGAAAATAAAAATAAATTATTAATTTAAAGCAAAATAATATCCGGTTAAAGTGTATATTATTTATTGATATTGATTTTTTTTCATTTCACTTATATCAAAGAAATTAATGTAATACTATAATTTTTCCAAAAAGAAGAAAAAGTAATCAAGAAAGATAATCTGCAATAATTTTGGTTTTTGAAAAGTAAATATAGTTAGTAGTGAATATGGTAAGAAATCTCATTTTTACGAAACAAAAGAAAATTTCATCAATTGTTTGTTATATCGGTTTCCGAGAATAGCACTAAAACAAGTTTTTTGAAAAATTATGGAACACATTCGATAAATTTCCAAAAATAGCACCAATTGACACATTATTAAGTTTTGTTTCTTCTAAAAGTATTATCCCGCAAATCTCCACCTCTTGTGACCGTTGCTAAAGCCGGATTCCCATGCGATGCTCCATCTGTGTTTAACTTAACCCAACCAACCATAGGAGGTGTCCAAGCGATCAGTCTCCAATCACGATCATGCTGTCTTTTCACTGGAATGGTCTCCCCCTACCAATCTGATAATCTGATTCCTAGATTTCTCAAAGATGAAACGGTCGCCGGAGAGATTGGGAGATTCAAGTGCGTTTTTACTAGAAGAAGTAGCAGTGACGATATATGGAGAGAGATTTTTTATTTTTTTTCTTATATCACTATTAAATTATTCCTCTACTATATTAAATTTCATTCATTCATCTACTTAAACTAGTTGTTTAGAATTTCATGATTTCTACAAAAAGCAGTCAATTACCTCTAGTATTCTATACTAAAACCGTTCTGGTCATTTCCTCGTTCTACTTATACACTAAAGACACCAATTACATCACGTGTGATTAGCTTGTTCTATATTTTACAAGGATGGTTATCGAAGATTAATGATCTAACATAGAGAAAGAGAAACCAAAAGAGATACACATATATCAAACATGGGTCATTCAAGTCATGTAAACTCACACTAAAGAGAATAAGTCACTGGTTTAAAAGCAATATAAGCGAAAACAACCTATACATTGAGTAAGAAGAGAGAAGAGACACCGAGTCATAAGGCTTAAACGGATGGTATATTTGAGAAGGAGAAACCTTTGTATCCTTTGTAAGCGTAATATGCAATCCGTGTATAGTAAAACCCCGGGATAAACAGAAGACATCCGAGTACAATGAAGAAAATCCCTGTTTCACCACCAACAATCAAACAAGGAAAAACAAAAAGAAATGAGCGAGTTTTCAGTAATCATTAGTTCAAATTTCGACTCAAATCCGACTTTTTCGGGTTTGCATTCTGAAATGAAGAAAAGAGCCACCAAATCTCTCATGCCTCTAGAGATTTGTTTGAGAGAGAGTTCCTCAATGTTTCACTTAACATCTCCTAATTGATCCCCAGAGAACTTAGAAACAAAGACCTAAACCAAGTCCAACACTAAGCAGTTTCCTCAAATCCTCAAGATATATCCCTAAATCTCCCAAACTAGGTTCCTTAACAAGTCTAAACATTAATCAAAAACAATAAGAAATCACACAGATTTTCACTAGTTTCCTCAATCTAAGCTAACAAAAATTGTCTTGAAACAAGCTAATCACGAAGATACAAGCGCAAAATTAGTAACAATTTTGATTAAATAAGGAATCGTAATTCGTACCGTGACCTCGATCACCACCAACTCGGTTATACGCCATGAAGAAACCTGAAACAATTCCTAGGGTTCCGAATACGAGTAGAGCCACCGCGAGTGAGATCTCCTTCACCGGTGGTCGATTACTAACGGTGTACGAAGTCCCAATCATTAGGTCTTCGTCCGATATTGAGAACGCATGGTCGACGTAAGCCATCGAATAGCCTCCGAAATCAATTTTACCGGAAAACGATTAGAATCACAACGACGTCGCCTGAAAAGCTGAAGATCGCAAGCTCGACGACGAAATCAAACTCTTTTGCTTCCTTCAATGAAGAAAGATGACGGAGATGGATACTTTCGTTAAAGCAACCAAGTCTGCCCGGATTGGCATTCTAAACGAGAACTACGTGTCGTTTTCTTACTCGGGAAACGGCAGAACGTGCCACGTAAGAAATTTTGTGAGATAATTAAATAGTCTAACATTTCTATCAAAAATTTAAGAATATAGTCTAAATTTCGTAATTTAATAAAAAAAATTCAGAGTTGCTTTCTTTGTCTATATAATCTTGAGTCTTTTGCCAATGTCTAAAGAATCAGGAAGAAGTCTGAAAGAAGAAACTTTATTCATGAACAAAATTTGGTGTGCATAGAAACAGAGACCTGGTGCAACCATATATAATGAAAAAAAACAAGAATTCTAGAATCTGATTAACATATTGAGATACTCTGTATATGTTTTTATGATGCTATAATTAAAATGATAGACAAAATTGGATTGTTTTGGCCTTGATGCTATGCTACAGAGGTGTGCATGGCTTGTAGGAATGTGAAACCTCTCTGTTTTATCTGCTGAAATAGGTTCTTGGAGAAAAGAGACGGCGTGGAGAGAACATTCCAGAATACCTAGGCGAAGCAAGACTGTCGATGGCGCGGTACTCAGGCATGATAAACCCTTCCCTCTCCTCTCTATTCCAGCTTCTTGATCCGCCATTGAACGTCCCATACTTCACCAATTTACCGAATCCCCAAGACTTCTTTTTGCTTGGACTCCTTGGTGAGCCTCCATTCATCTTTTGTGTCAGATACTCTCTCACCACCTGCAGATTCTGCTCCATCACCTCGATGGGCGGGGACACGAGCGGGTTTCCTTCAACACTCAGCTTCCTTAACCTTCTCATGCAGCCAATGGACTCAGGTAATACAGTGATCTTGTTGTAGCTAACATCGAGCTCAATGAGGTTCATTAAAAGGCCAATGGAAGATGGAAGAGCGGAAAGATACTGGAAATTCTGGCTGACATTGAGAATCTCGAGGTTGATGAGATTCTCGAGATCATCTGGGAGAATCATGAGGCAGTTGAGACGAGCGTCGAGGACACGGAGAGATGTGAGGTGAGTAATGGAGAGTGGAAGACTAATTAGCTTGTTGGAGTTGATAGAGAGCTTCCTTAGATTGGTGAGTTCAAATCCAATGGAGTCTGGTAATCTGATGAGTTTGTTGAAGTTTGCATTTAGTTCTTCCAGAGACCTGAAAAAAAAAAGAGAACCAATACAAAAGTGGGAATTATGATTTTGTTGGTAGGGGTGTTGTGAAAGTTATGGGGTGAAACCAAACCTGCAATGTTGGATAGATTTGGGGAAGGATACAAGAAAGTTGCCGGAGACATTGAGAGTCTTGAGCTTAGAGAGACAACCAATGGAGTTTGGAAGAGCTTTGATCTGATTTGAGTGAACATCTAATGCTATCAAGTTGAGTAGTCTCGCTGTTAATGATTCTGGTATAGTCTGTGTCACATTCAATATAGCACCAAATGCTAAGAAAATATTATATGAATTCTTCACATTTTCCAGCATTACAAATTTACAATACATTTTATCAAGTAAGAAAAAGACTCATAATTTTGGATTATCTCTGTTGGAAAAATTATAACAAATTTGACTAGGGATTGACATTTGGATCGGACAAAGATTGAGACTGAACTAAAAGTAAACCAGAATATCCTATAAAAATTAGTCAAATATACAAGACTGCGTACAAGTTAATCGGAAAAAATCCTAACATTATTTGAAAATTAACATAAATAAATTGTCATTTTCAAAAATTTCGAGGAATCAAACCAAACAAAATATAAAATGGAATGATCCATAATTGTTATTCTGATATCAAATTTTAAAATGAAACAATCAAACGATTCTATTGATGTAAATAAATAATGTGTGGAAAAGAAAAAAAATCTAAATATTGCAAGATTTTTTTTTTTGGAATACGCAACCCATTAAATCTTTTTTCACAAATATTGCAAGATGCTTATGGTCTGTGTTGATTCATCAAGAGAAATGAAGCCATGCTCTCAATTATTATCCAAATAGACAAAATTGCATTAGTATGTGAATTAAAGTACATGCTTATGATCATATGGTATTGAATAATGCAGGAAAAATGTCTCATGATTATAAATATGTGTATATGTGTGTTGTGAGTTTAGGTATGAACCTGGAGATGATTGTTGGAGAGATCAAGCTTGCAAATCTGAGCTAAATTGAGTGAAGGATTAGGGAGAGACTCCAATGCCATCCCACTCAAATTCACAACCTCTAGCCTCTCTTCCTCATTATTATTGAATGATGGTGATTTTGGTGATGATGGAGATGATGGCGACGATAATGGTGATTTTTTCCGTTGATGATTACTACGTTGATCCATCATCATCATAGTCATCATTTGTTCCTTTTGTATTTGCGGTTGCTGATGATATGCCTCTTCGCATATCATCTTTCACACTATCTCTATATATATATATATATATGTATATGTGTGTGTGATTTTATGTATATGTTTGAAGAAGAAGAAGAGAATGATCAAATGATCATAGAAGAAAGAGAGTTTAAAAGCTTAATATGGTATAACAAATGTGTGTGTACGGAGAGACTATAGGAGATGTACGGTGGAGGATTTTGGTGGGTTTTAAAAGGAAGTAGATCGATTTAAGTTTAGCCAAATATCCAAGCCATTAATAAAATAGATTAATTAGGTAATTATAGAAGTATGGCTTTTTTATTAGTGGTCAAAGTTTCCTAACCACCTGATTTAAAAAGTCAAATACTAACGCAAATTACTCTTTTCTTTCTATTATTAGTGTTTATTGTTTTATTGGCATCTTTTGACCAAATCAAAAGGAATGTTCTCACTAATAATCAAAAAGCATTGAACTTGTGTAAAAAGTGCGAATATTCCTATTGATAATGTACTTGACACATCAATCTCTTTAATCGGTAACTAATAGTATGTACTCGTTAACAAATATTTTTCTTTTTACTCTGGTTTTTATAAATAAAGTTCATGATCTCTTTCATCTTTATTTACTTTCAAAATTTACCAAGAAAAAACGATATATGTTCCACACTAGAGTGAGATCAAGTCTCGTTTTTAAAGTATCAACTAAACTATACGAATATATATATTAAATTATATATCAACATGAGTTGATGTTACTAAAAAAACTAAATCTACTTTGTTAGCCTTGTTCTTGGCGTTTTTAGTTTTATTTTTCAAACAATCATTGTCATACCAATCAAGTTCTTAAGTTTTTTGGTTTCCTTAGAATTTAAGAAAACACTTTTTCTATAATCTTCAATTCAAGATTTTAGATTCCTAGTTCTCCTATAATTTAAGGAATTTAATTTTTACTTTACCTACATATTTTTCTCAAAACCCACAAACCATTTTTTGTTTTTTTTTTGAAAGAAAAATCTAAAATTAAATTTTAAAATTAAGAAAACTAAAAACCAAATCCAAAAACTGAATTAGAAAACAACATATATACTACATTCATGGCAAAAAGTTTGACTAGCTCCATCTTAAGTACCACCAAGCATTGATTCCAAAATTCAAAAATTCTTCATTCATGGCCAATGAGGTGATCATAGAAATTGATTTAAAAACGAATTTTAGAATCGATTCAAAAATTCAAATTCCTTTCATTAATCACAAAAATAGCCGTGAAATTTACTACTTTTGTACTTCATGATCACTTATAAAAATTAAAATTGTGTTTTCCTTCTGTTTCGTCAATGTTTTATGTATGGTTTGTTACGTTTGTATGTTTAGAGAGTTTTGTGTTTAAATCAAAGAAACTAAAAAAAGATAGCCAATGGTTTTGAGGGATCAGCTAACAAGATTGAGATAGGAATTGTGACACTAGACGTATACAATATTCTTGTGAATTCTGAGAGCACATACATTACTATTCTAGAGTTTAGGATCCATATAGGAACCAAACAATTTTGGTTCGGTTCCGGTTCTTTTGGTTCTGAAGTTTAAGATCTATTCGGATATTTTATTTCAGATATTTTTAGGTATTTTGGATATTTTTGGGTATTTTTGGATATTTTCGAGTATTTTTTTATATATTTTAAGTATTTTTTTGATATATTTTCCAAATATTTGTTGGTATTTCGGGTATTTTTGGTTATTTGATCTAAAAATAACTAATATTTTTAGATATAATCTCATATTTCGGGTATTTTCGGATACGCGAAATATTTCGGTTCGGTTCGGTTCCGGTTCCGGTCTTTCGGTTCTAAAATTTAGAATCCATTTGAGTATTTTAAAATTTTAGTTTGGTTTCGGTTTGGTTCTTTTTGCTTCGGTTCCGGTTCTGTTCCTTTGATTCGGTTCCTTCGGTTCGGTTATTTTGTCCATGCCTAGCTAGTAGCATCCATAGGAAAACCTTTTTAAGCTTAATAAATGTCAAATTAATTTGAGTTACTCCATATAATTCTCCACTATAATACTACGAAAATCAAATAAGAAGCTAGAACAAATTTTTCGGTGGAAATTTTAAAACCGGTTTGAGTTACGCGTTAGTCGTTACCAGTCCCGTTTTTTTACCAACTTTCACACGTAGTTTGAAGACGATTTGTTTAGATGAAAGTTGAAACTAGCTCATTTCAAAGATCGATCAAAAAGTTATTTTCGAAATACTTCAATCTTTTGAGGGGCTTTCTTGTAACAACATTTCCTCTTCATATGACTCATCCTTACACGTATCCGTCGTAAAAAACACCTTCACATCAAACACCACCACGTAATCATCTCTAACGTGCCACATGTTCTTAAATCTCGTGTCTCGAGTCGAGAAGTCTTACAAGAAAATATTGCACCTACGAGAGAAAGAGAACGAGAGAAATGGAGGCAACGAAAGAAAGAATGGAAAAAGAAGAGAAGAAGATAGACCTCACCAATGAGGCCGGAAAAGCCGAAGACAACACGACGGTGAGAGCCATTGTTCGTGAGTCTATAGTGGAAGACAGAGGTTCCAACGACGGTGACGGCGACAAAGACAACGACCATGACGCTCGCAAGCCAGAGGACATTCTTGCTTTCTCAAGAACCGTACGGAAGATCGATTCATCCCTCGAGTAGTATTTAATGTGTTCTGTTTTGTAGTCTTTAATTTCTTTCAAAAATGGTGTAAATGATCTTTTTTTCTATAACAATCGAATGGCCAAACAAATAAACTGTTTGATAGTATTATTACACTAATTGTTTAACAAAAATACGGAAAAAAGACATCTATGTTTACTTATATATTGCCACAAGATCATTTTTTGCAACAAAGTTCCTCCACTTACCTAAATGACACTAGTTTTCTTTATCAAAAAACAAATAAACCTTTGATACTTAATATCTTCAATCTCTACACCTGATTTATTAGAACACCAACATTGTCAAAATTAGTCTTGGGCGTTCGGTTATCGGTTCGTATCCATTCGGTTTCGGTTTTTTCGGTTCTAAAATTTAGTATCCATTCGGATATTTTAAAATTTCGGTTCGGTTCCGGTTCTTTCGGTTTTAAAATTTAGTATCCATTCGGATATTTTAAAATTTTGGTTCGGTTCCGATTCTTTCGGTTTTAAAATTTAGTATCCATTCGGTTATTTTGCTTTGGATATTTTCGGATATTTCAGTTATTTTCTGATATTTTTCGGTTATTTTTGAGTATTTTTACTATTTTTATATATTTTTCCAAGTATTTTTGATTATTTCATTATTTGGTTTATAAATAACTAGTACTTTTGATTATTTGTTCTATAAATAACTAATACTTTTGAAAATATAATTGTATTTCGGGTATTTCGGTTACCTGAAATATATCGGTTCGGTACTAATTTGGTTACTGTTATTTCGGTCATTGAATTTAGTATCCATCCGGTTATTTTCAAATTCTCGGTTCGATTCAGGTTTTTTTGCTTTAGTTTTAGTTCGGTACATTCGGTTCGGTTTATTTGCGCGAGCCTCAAAATCCGGGAATAAGAAGAAAAAGAATAAGGCCTTTATCTATGAAAAGCCCATTGGGCTTTATCCTTCAACTCTAGGTCCAGTTACTCTGCTTCATCACAAACGTCACTCTCAAGAAAACTCTAGAACTTCTCTTGAGTAAGATTAGGATTTATACCTCTTCTTCTGTTACTTTCTAGAGTAGAGAAGAAGAAGATGTCGATGATTCCGATCAACAATCACCGGAGACTATCCCCCGGCGACAGAATCTGGGAACCATTTGAACTCATGAACACCTTTCTTGATTTCCCATCACCATCTCTCTTTCTTTCTCACCACTTTCCCTCACTTTCTCGAGAAATATTCCCATCATCTTCATCAACCACCGTCAAGACGCAGCTTAATTGGACTGAGACTCCGACGGCTCACGTTTTCAAAGCGTATCTTCCGGGAGTGACTCAAGACGAAGCGATAGTGTTCGTAGACGACGAAGGATATCTCCAGATCTGTACTGGCGACAACAAATTCATGAGCAGATTTGAACTTCCTAACAACGCCTTGAAGGATCAGGTCACGGCGTGGATGGAGGATGGGTTTCTTGTCGTGTTCGTCGCGAAAGATGGTTCTTCTTCGCCGCAACAGCTGCCGGAGATAGAGGAGAATCGTAACGTGAGAGTAGTGGAAATCACCGGCGATGATGATTAATCAAGTGTTAAATGTTGTCGAGATATGTATGAATTAAAGTGAAACTTACAAGTTTTATGTACTAAATGAACAAATTTAATCACTTAATTACGTTGTGTTAAAAACAAATAAATCAAAACGTAAAGTCGTAAACAAAAGCCAAAACTTACAGATAAAGCTTGTATTGGGTTGCAGAATGTGATCTGTTATCATCCTCCGGCTATCAGGCGCCATTTGCAACTACAATTTCTTCAAGTAGCATGGATGCATGCTCTTCCGAGTTCATGAACCGCTTTCCCTCAAGCCCCACAACAAGTGCGTGATGGGTACTCTCATTTGGAAGCATTCCCCTTTGAACCATCAAACCAATCAACTCACATGCTTTCTCAATATCTCCTACACTGCAATATCCATGGATGAGCGTATTATACAAAACCACATCTGGCTTTAACCCCGCATCAAGCAACTTATCAAACAAAACAATAGCTTTCTCCATTCTCTGCGCTCTGCAATAACCATGAAGTAATGCACTGCATGTTACAACATCAGGTTTCACTCTAAGATCAGCCATGTAGAACCACAAAATAAACGCTTCCTGAAAATCCCCTCTCTTCGATAACCCACCAATCACATCTGTGAATGCTAATGCACTAGGAACAAAGCCTCGTCGGATAAGCTCACTGATAATTTCATTTGCTTCATCGACATATCCTCTAACCACCATGCTATGTATCAAAATATTGTAGGTTGCAACATCTGGAGAGATACCAGCAGATCTCATCTCATCAATAAGCTCAAATACTTTATTCAGCTGATGTGTCTTCCCATACCCATACATCAGATTGTTATACGTTACAACATCCGGATGCAAACCTTCAGTTTTCATAATCCGAAACACAGATTCTGCATCACTTATGCTTCCAAACTTGCTGCAAGCACCAATAAGTAGTGTATATGTTATTAAGGATGGCGGGTTCCCGCTTTTCAACAGTGCCCCGAAAAATTGAAAAGCTTTATCTGTTCTGCCTAGAGTACAATACCCATCAATCATAGTAGTATAACAATAACAATCAGGAAGGAGTCCCAACTCAAAAATCTCCTGAAATATGGTAGAAGCTCTAAGCATGTCTCCTGTGCTACATATATTTGACAGAAAGCTACTGTACACAAAAATGTTTGGTCTAAGACGAAAAGAATGAATGAGCTTAATGGCTTCCTCTGGTTTCCCTACCTTACAGAACCCGTCGATAACAGAGCTGACGGATACAGAATCCTGAGAGATACCAAAGAGTTTGAGTTTAAACAATACCGAAGTCGCTTCTCTTAGAAACCCTGCCTTACACAACTTATCAATGAAAACTGTAAATGCCACAATGTCAGGTCTGATGCCATAGTCTTTCATTCCCATAAGCAATTCCCAACCTTTATCAAAATAGCCATCAGAGCAATACTTCCTTATGAATAGGCTAAGAAGGGCAGCATTTAGATGCCTCCCTCGACTAAGCATGTGCTCAACAAATTCCCGAGCTAACTCCAACCCATGAGCTCGTAGAATTTCCTCAACTAACGAAATACAAACCCCTCGTGAAGGAAAGATGCCAAACTGGTCTATTTTGTAGGTTAGTTTCAGGGCCATGTCTACCTTCCTCTCTTTAATGCAACAATCAATCAGCATACAAAACACAGTTTCTAAAACCCGACGATCAATACGAGTTTCAAATAGATCCTTTATAACTAAACACAAGGACCTTTCTTTTCCACTACATTTCTTCACCAGACAGAGAAGCATATCTACAGCTCTATAATTCATATTTCCAGACACCAGAATATGAATCATTCGGCTGATAGACCTGCTCGAGTGCGCAACACCAATCCACAACTCTGACCATCTAAAGAAGTATAGAGCAATAGATGCATCCAAAGTCTCCTCAAACAAATCATCCAAAATTCTAATGACATTGTATTGATCAAGTTCAGTACTAAACCCACTCTCATATTTCTGTATCCAACTGTGTTTCGTAAGCACATTTCTAATAGTTTCAACACAGTCACTAGGGACATCAATATTCTTCAGAATCGTATCAAAACTTTCACCAAAATGCTTACTTGAACCAATCCTTGCATCGGAAACATAGTACCGTGATCCAGAGTAAGTTAGCTTACCAGAATCACTCTGAAATCTTTGTTCTTGTAAAGCCTTTGTTCTTGACCAGAAATATCGAAAAGCCTTGGTTCTTGTAAAGCAATGATTCAAACCAGAAGACTTGAGGTTTAGGATTGAAACCCACATAAACAGGGACTGGTCACAAGTTATCTGAAGAAGAAACAAAAACAAAGGAAACAATTTTTGTCAATTTTGTGGAAAAAGTTTGGTTCTGAGAGAAACCCATATCATCAATTTATCATTTCTCTCAAGCATTATATCACCCAAGTAGCTGCGAAAACTTACAATGGCTTGTCTTAATTTTGATCGCCCGGAATAATAACGGCGACGGCGAGAAGAGAGAGATAGAGAGAGAGGTAGAGACGAAAGTTTGGTATGATGTGAAATTTCGGTTTTTCCTCTTCCAGGAATCAAACCGGTTTCCTAATCAAAGAACAGAAATTGGGCCTTCATTAATGGGCTTTTATCGGAATCTAAGGCCCAGTCACGTTTCTTATGATTAGAAACCGGTTTGATTCCTGACTTTTTGTATCTCGTATGATCCAATTATGTCTCTCCTTAGATGAAACTCTATTTTAGAGAAATACATCGGAGTAAAATTTCCTCTAAAATAGAATTTCTCTAAAATAGATAATAAATATAAACATGAGCATTGAAGATGCTCTAAAAACTATATTCTAAGTATATTATAACATTATCTATATCTGGTTTGAAGGTGATATTTTGTTTCACCGTATTGGGTGATTTTATTAAGTTTGCTGGATATAGACAAAAAAAACCATCCGCTCCTTCAATTAAACTCATAAAGATTTGAAAGCCAATGAATCTAAAAATCCGAGTAAATCATTTGGTATCAATAAAATTGGTACCATTAATAGAAAAGTTCATTAAGATATTTAATTTACGCAACAAGTGTATATAATTGCTATATAAAATCATTTAGATATTACCTATTAAAAAATCAAATCTTACTCCTTTTGTTTTTGTTTTATAATACTTCTTCTGTTCCATTTTATTAGATGTTTTGGCAAAAAGCACAAAAAATAAAAAAATAAAAAAAAATTTCAATTATAAAACTTCAACCAATAGGAGAAGATACTACATAATTTAAATAATTAAAAACTAAATAATATAAATCATGCATAGAAACGAAAAATCTTATAAAATGGAACAAATGAAAAAGCCTAAAACATCTTATATACATTCTTAAAACAGAGGGAGTAGTTTTCAAGTGAATGATTTCAACAAAAAATGCACGTATCATAGATCCTAAAGTAAGGTAGTATTAGCTTATATGATTCTAACTACACTAACTATCAACAATAAACGCACGGGCGTAAAACTTCTTAGTTATTTTTAAAAAAAATCATCAACAATAAATTAGTCTAAATTTTTTCACATATTTTGTTGTTGAGAAGAAGTGTTCGCATTAATTTGAAATTAGTGCCTTACGGAAATGATACTTATTCAAGATTATGATTTTTTTTTTAAGTTTCACTGAATATAAATAATCTTGAATAATTGCAACAAGCAGTTGCATGCTTCTTTGAACCGATTGCAGTCAGTAGGTTTAGCTATCGTAATGCACAACATATTTCACTTTATAGCATGTGGTTATCAACAAATCTACCATCAAGTTTATGGCTATGCCAAGGTGAATGAAGCGTTTGCTGCAAATCTAGTCAAAGTTGTGTCTTCGGCCCAGAGAAGTAAAGCAGTAGTGATGCTGAAGCTACTCAACAACAGAACTTCTCAATACTCTCTGCCAAAATCCTATAACACCAAATCTGCAGCCATGTCTTTTTCCAAATTAACTGGTACTAAAGAGTTACCTGCTTATTTGGACTGGTTGCAATAGTTTCAGATATTGTCCTAATATTTGATGAGAAGAGGGAGAGAGTTCTTGAGTTATAGCAACTCCGAAAGAGTTTCCAGCAGCATCTATCCATGAGATTTGAAGAACTTATATCATGTTTTGGAAAACAAGATGATAATTTGAAGTTATTGGAAGAAGAAAATGTATGTACTCTATGATGATTCAAAGCAATTACAAAAAATTCAAATAAAGATGGTAGAAAAATCATCATTTTAAATCTTAACAAAATCTTCTAATATTTATATTATTAATTGTGAAGTATTATATGGATATTTTCTAAATTTATAATTAATGTTAAAAAAATCAATTGCGTTGGTTATATGAATACTGGTTGTAAGAGTTGTTTGAATACATGAATATAAGTACTTCTATATTTCATAAATACCTTGTAAATAAATGACCATTTACAAGTAATTAAAGGGTTCTTCTTCGGTTCCGAAAAGTAACTAAACATTTTTAATATATATTTAGTCATAAATTATTACATATTTTAATATATAACTAGATAGTGTCTCATGCATTACGTGGATTTAAAACTAATATATTAAAATATGTAATACTTTAAATTGTTGTATAGCACCATTATATATATATATATATATTGGTTTATATTTATGACCATGCGATTACGGAAAATGATAATGGTGCTATACAACAATTTAAAGACTATTTGAGCTTGTATTTTGGAGTGAAGGATCTTAAGGTACCACGAAATTCGTCAGACATTTATCTCTGTTAACGGAAGTATGCTTTAGATATGACTATCGAGTTCAATTTTCTTGGAGCCCAGACCGATTGCTTTTCCTCCTGATTAGAACCATCAGTTAGCTATGGCGTCAAGGGAGCTTCATTTGGATCCATAACCGTATCAAGTGATACCTGAGAACACAATCAGACTTCAAAACTAATTATATATTTTCTAATGTTATATATACTATTAATAAACTCATAGTCATTTAGTTATTGTAATCCATCTATTGAATGGAATTTCATGTTTTTGACACTTTTTATGTAGACTATGTATTAGGCCTGGGCATTCGGGTACCCGAACCCGTTCGGTTCTTTTTTTTCGGGTATCGGGTCTAATCGGGTAGGGGTTCGAGACCCATTCGGTTATTCTAAATTATCGGTTCGGGTTCGGTTCGGTTCTAATTGGGTTCGGGTCGGGTCCTCTATTAAATTTAAGAACCGTTGAATACCCGAAAAGTTTCGATTATGTTCGGGTTCGGGTATAATTCGGGTAATTTGTAACCAAAGTAACCAAAAATAACCAAAAGTAACCAAAGATAACCAAACATGCAAAACCTGATTATACTTGTGCAAAAATAACTCAATTTGTCTAAATTATGAAACCAAAGACAGACATATAGATAAACTGATGCATTGTCTAAATTGAAACCAAACAAAACGCAAACATAAGCTGATTAATTGTCTAAATTCAAAAGAGAACAAAACACAAACATTTCAATTGTTGTTAAAGTTATCAGAAACATACAACTACAGTCTACAAGCATCAGAAAGACATCATGTTCCTGTTACATTGAAAAAAAGATTCATCAATACCAAAAATAATTCAGACAGAGAAAAAACAGTTTAGATTATTACCCAAAAGCCGAGTATGAGTCATATAGATCTACTCGTTTACTCCTAATGCTCCAAACTCTGAAAATCATTTAGAGAACACAATTTCAGTAGGTAAAAGCATACAATGCTACAAGTATAATTGAGAAATAAAGTAAAACCAACCTTTCTCCAGCTCATCTTGTGTCACAAAGTCAGCATATATATAAGACAGAGTCATAGCAGCTTGCTCCTTTAACTTCATCTCTGACTTCATCCATTGGTCTGTGCACATCAAAACCTCAATGGTGTAATGACTAAGACAACTCCTACTTGGTTCCAGCATGCGTCCACTTGTACTAAAGGCAGATTCTGATGCGACTGATGACACTTGCATAGCAAAAACATCTCTTGCTATTTCTGATAATATAGGGAACTTACCAGAATTGCGCCTCCACCAATCCATGACATCATACTCATCACCAAACATATTACTCTTTGGATGCTCAACCTTTTCTTTCAAATACATGTCTAATTCGTCCTTTGCATCATGAACTCCTAACTCATCAACCATCTCATCATAAACACACTGCATTCTTTCAAATCCACCACCAAGAGAAGCATCTGTATTTTCTAACTCCTCTTCAGCATATCCAGTAGCTTGTTCATGGCTAGCACTAGCAGAATTGCTCCCAACAGTATTAGACGATGATGCATCAGTAGAGACTTTGGGAAACATGCTACTATACTCCTTAAAAAGACTAGTCAACACAGAATATGTAGAATCATACATCTCTTTAGAATCTACACTATCTTTCCCATAGACCTTATCAAAGCAAAGCTGAGAAAATTACATTTTCTTTGTCGGATCAAAGACAGTAGCCACAATCAAAAGCTTATTGATATTTTTAAAACCCTCCCAATACTTATCAAACTTCTCTTTCATGTCCTTAGCCCTAGTCCTCATTTCCGGATCAATGCTCTGACTCAATAGTATCATATTCTTCTCTATTGTAACTATCTCTCCATAACACTTGTATGAGTTAACCGATGTAGAAGCAGAGACAATTAAAGTAGCAGTATAAAAGAAGTTCAGAAACTTTACCATTCTATCTATCTCCACCCAATCCAAATAAGTAGGAGGACCAACCCTTTTCTTGCCTTTTTCCATCTCTAAGAAGTAGTTGTTGTAGATCTTATCTTCAGCTTCCATCCGATCAAAAGCTTCTCTGAATCTTTGCGCTTTTGTGAGCATCAAATAGGTTGAATTCCACCTGGCTTCGACATCTAGAGGCAAGCTTCCTCTACTCAGATTAGATGCATCAACCCTTTGATCAAATGAGATCAATCTCTTTGTAGAAGATCTCACAAAAGTCACTGCATTCCGAACTGCTTCCACATGGGAATTGATCTCATGCAATCCATCTTTGACTATCAAATTGATGATGTGAGCTGAACACCTCATATGCATCATCTCAGCATCTAATATGAATGCATTATTCCCATTCTTTGCCCTGAAGGCTCTTTCAAATTTCTGAAGTGCAGAAGTATTGGCTGTTGCATTATCAACAGTGATAGTGAAGATCTTCTCTATACCCCATTCATCCAAGCAAGAACTCAAAACAGCTGCAATTGTTGCCCCTTTATGATCTGCCACATACTTAAACCCTATGATCAGCTTTCTTAAATGCCAATTTGCATCAACAAAATGGCAAGTTATTACCATATAACTTGCACCAGTTACGTGAGCTGTCCATATATCAGTAGTGAGAGAGACCCACTGCTTAGTTGCACGCATCCATTTCCTCATTTCTTCTTTCCGCTTCACAAACATCTCATAGATGTCTCTTGTTGCAGTTCTTCTAGAAACTGGCTTGTACAAGTTGCATTTGGTAGTGAAATGTCTCCAAGCTATACTTTCAATGAATGAAAGTGGCATCTGTCCTAATACAAGCATTTCATTTGTTGCTTCTCTAACCACTTCAATTGAAACCTTACCAGCCATTAGATGACTACCATCTGGATTCAGAATCTTCTGCATTTCACTGTCTTGCCAAACTTTGAATTGCTTAC